ATGTCGAGATCCGCCCAGCTGCATGAGTGACAGCTGGCTCTGCCTATCTAGAGGCAGAGCCAGCTGGACCCGCCCCCTCCCGTTCCGCCAGTCAGCACTGGCGGATCGGAGCGGGAATCCAGCCCCTCCCCTGTCACGGCAGAGAGCCGTGACAGGATTGAGAGGTGAGTGAACGCCGGTATCTGTTCGCTCACCTCCTGATCTACTGAGCCGACCTGTGACAGTCTCATTGTCACAGGTCGGCTAGAACTATGAGGTGAGTGGAAATCACTCATCTCATAGTTCTCCTTTAACAGATTATTGCCTCTGTATTATGCAGGAAAGTACTAGATAGTGAATAAAGGAAAACTATTTTACTTATTTAGGGCACCTGCTGTCCTGTACTGGTACACCTTGACAGCTCTGAGCCATGTTACTGAAGTGCAGGTTCATTCTTAAAGTGTGTTTGCTGTAATTAATGCTGAATTCTGAAATTCTGTAATTAATGCTGAAGGGAAAAGTTTAGAACTTCTGTCAGCATTTTATTGCCGTCTGTTTCTGATTGGGACATTTCCCCTCACCTCCTGTCTTGGTTTTTAGTTCTTTGAGGTTATTAGTACTATCAGTGCCTTCCTGTCTTAGTAACCATTTGTCTTGTGCTGATGTCACAGGGATAAGAACGGAGGGCCAAACTCCTCAATGAAGAAGTGGAGTTTTAAAAGTTGAGTTTTTATTTTTGGCATTCGTTCTCTTTTGAGTCACAGGAGAACATTTACTAATGCGCTCCTGTGACCCCAAACTCAACAAATAGCAGCCTATTGATCGCTATATACCGACAACGCAGAGCTGCATTGCAGCCGGGAAAGATACCGACAGGCCAGCTGTGCCCGCCTCCTCCCGTGTCTGTCGCTCCAGTCAGGGCTGGAGGAATGAAGAGAGGGGGGGGATCCCTGCGGGGAGCAGTGACTGACCGCTAATGCTCTCAGCAGGGAGAAGATTCTTAACTGAGCAGTCAGCAGTTTGTGATCGCTCACTTCTCGATCTATAGAGCTGATGTTTGACTGCTACAGTGTCACATGTCGGCTCTAACTATGGGAATGAGTGTATTTCACTCTACCAAGACTATAATTATCATTTTTTCTGGTTTCACAATTCCTTAGTAGCCTCCTTGCCCTAGTGACCACAACCAGGAGATCTGCAAAATTACATAGTCTTAAGGTCTTCTTGGAATCAACTCATTCTGTGACTGTCAGTCATGCATAGCCTACTACAAAGCAGGTCACAAAGACCTCAGGAGAGAAGCAATGTATGCAGATTTTTTTTCTTGAAGTTAAGCCCAGCCACATTACTGATTAATAAAAAGTTAACAGCACATCTTAAGATATGTTGCAAAATAAGCATCTAAATGAAATACGTCAGAATGCGCGACACATACATCAATCGGACTAGCTGCAAAAGGTAAGCTTAGATTTGAATTAAAGCCTTAAAGTCAATGTATAGCCTATCAATTAACATATTTCTTACTTGCTCCATTTTGGTCTGTAAATATACTGCTACTGAATTTCTAACTTCCTGTAGTAAGTTGGCAGCACAGTGCCTCTACTACATTGAAATTTGAAGGAGTCTTATCAGACCTGACTAGGTCACCTTTCAGAGGCCCTCCCCTTATGGAGATGAAGAAAGGGAAAGGTGTTTTGGTCGTAGGGTGACAACAATTTGCTCTACAGATGCAGAACAGTGAGTGAGCACTGTTACCAAGTTTTGGAGAAGCAAGGCCTGTGCATTTCGGAAATTTTTCAAAGAACTGAGAAGGCAATATTTCTGCAGCTTGTATAAAAAATATGGCCAGAGGACATGCCTATGCACATCCTGTCTTATGACATGTAGTTCAACTAAAGTAAGGTGTAGCTTACCTCTCTTTGTCTCTTTCATCTTTTGCCAGAGACAACTCCCTCTTGTCTTCCTTGTCTCTGTCATGGTTGGTCACAGAGGAACTTCTTTCGGAGTCTCCGACCTTGGACCACTGAGGAGGAGTTGGGAAAGACGGTGGAGTCCGATGGAGCCGATTCCAGGGCTCATGGGGGCTGCTAAAGTTCTGAAGGGTCGGGCTTTCTTTGTGAGTGAACAAGCTGTTGTGTGCTGTGGAGGTTTGGAAACAGACTATTAGCACTGATTTGAGAGAATGTTCTAATAAAGTGTGGTCTAAAAACAGAAGTGCCACTAAGCTTTCTCTGCTGGAAAGCACATAAAAAGTACTCAACTGTGTAATCTTAATAATTGCTATGGTAAGTTTAAAGCTTTTAACATCACATATGCATTATGAGCAGCATATATACGCGTTTTCTCTTCTTTATGAGATTTCTGGCAGGTATTGCCCTCATGCAGAGATAATGACAATGTTAGGTTAATTTCAGTAGGAGCCATTTTAATGTAAATACCTAGTAGTGAACTTTCCATGTATCAGAATGACAGTAAGAGGCACCACTGCTTCCAGACACACACCACCTACTACACCCTATAAGGCTCAGATAATAATCACAGTTCTAGATAAAATGTCTATTCCTGTATCCTGAAATGAAAGTAACAAACATCAGGATCAGCATTTTCCTGGCTACACTACTATGGAAATCACAAGCACAGCACCACAGCCACCAAAGCACATTTAGAATTGCCTTGCAGCACTTCAGCGGATATGCAAATAAAAAGTGCCCAAATGACCCAGAAAGAATTACTATTACTCTCCCCTGGGGTAAAAACTAACCAATCAAAAAGCAAGGATTTCTACTTTTGTCATCAGCCTAGTAATTGACTGCAAACCCCTCAGCCAGTACTTACTTAGAGCATGACTGGCTAATCCTCCAAAGGCATTGCTGCCTAAGTTCCCCAGGCCGCTGAAGCTGCTTGACCTGCTAAATGGATCTGGAAAGGCAAACAGGTATTGAAGAGGCGTTTATTCCATGAGCACTGGAGAATGAAACGCACTCCTGACCCTAAACCTTAAAACTGGGTATCTGGGATGAAAATTGTCCCACACAGCCATAGGACTCTCCTGTTAATAGGGGCAACCAATAAGAATTCACATTTGGCAGCTTAATCTGCACAGAGGCCTAATGTCAGAATATATTTAGTGTGTGAAAGGAAGAATGTTGAAAATTTAAGGATTTCAATGTAAACATCAATGGCAGTTTCTTCATCAGTGTGCGAGGGAAGAATTGTCTCTGTGTGGCCTACATCACCCAATAGGATTCTCATAGTATAGTATGTGGGAGTGAAGGGAAAATAAGCTGGGTGTTATGAGCAGCACAGTTGAGAAACACTCTTCCCTCAGATACACTGACACATAAGGATTATTATCTGTAATGGGATATTAGGTAGTGTAGAAAAGACCTATAGATGGAGGAATTATTAATAATATACTACCAATGTTTTGCAGTGCTAAGCTGTAACATTAATATAGCATTTCTAAATCTTAATGTAAAAATATAATTGAACTGTAGCTGTAACCTGGTCCAATACTGTCGAGTCATATAGACAGAACACTGAAATGATAAAAGTCAGACTAATGGTTAGTTTAAAGTGTGTAAATTCAGATAAGAGACGGAAAATGCGTAGCATGGCATATCATTGATGCCATTACATACTGTAGTAATAAACTGGCTGTGCCTTAGGCTTTAAAATTTGCTACCCTTCTTCCCTTCCATTTTTATGCCATAAAAATAATTTCATATTAAGATGTGAAAATGAGGAATGGAATTTACTTACACTTACCAGCCAAATGGCTCGTTGGCAGGAAACCGCTGTGGTGTGGGGAAGGTCCAAATGGTGTTGCCCCTGGATGTGTTGGACCTGAACAGAAAAAAATGAAAGAATGAATGCAGTCCATATAGAAGTCAAATATGTCGTCCTCAATTCTTCCAGTCAGGAATATTTCACTGCGTTTACCAGCCAGAAAAGACGGACTGTGCCAGCAAACAAAAACCACAGTGATCTGAACAGGACATCTGTAATACATTATTCACCAAGAGTCGTGACTGGCAAATGTAATGATACAAATAGGCATTGCAACGTTTTTCTACTACAATATACAGATTAAAAAGTAAAAACATTTACATTTACTTTTGTTTTCAGGAAGAAAAAAAAAAAGATTCTGTAAAAACTATCCTTTGCTCATTAAGAACAGAATAGATTAAATTAGTCAAACCTAGGTGACACTCTGCTTTACACTATACTACTCCTCTAAAACTGGCAAAAAGAAAGGCGGGCTGCAAGAAAAGGCAAACTAGAATAGTTCTGGGTTAATCTGACTGCATATTTCTTAAAGTTTAAAGGTTTTATGTATAGAATTTCCTTTTTGGTTTATAAACATCTCCTCTAGGGTACTCTCGTGTGTTTGGTATTTACTCATTATAACTCAATTTTATATTTTACAAAAAAAATGGTATTAAACTGTGTTTGTGTGAACTAAAATTAATTTGTTTTTTCCAAACAATATTGCTTTAATAAAAACATTTGCACCAATATGTGTGTGTGTGTGTGACAAAACTGCAGGAGGTGGTTAAAGATATTAATGGGAACTTATAGAGCCCAGCATTTATAGCACATACCCATCACCTTCATCTGTTAGAGAATTGGAAGCTTTACGTCTGGAACCCCACTATACAAACTTTAGAACTTGTATTGCAGCATTCCAAAATGGGAAATGGTTACTCTGAGGGCAAACGAAGGCCCAGTTCCATATTGCTCGAGTCCCAGGTACCATTTTAAATGGCATGAAATCACATGGTCTTTTGCCACTAATCCTGCAGAATTCAAAGTCTGTTTTCAGTCAGGTCAAAAGACTGGTACATAGGAATCAGGGCCTGCATATGGAATGATCAATATGGCTGCCCCCTCCCAATGTATATAGTAGAGATGCACAGAAATTTCAGCAACAATGATACTATGGGCAAAATGCTGATAGTACCAAAATGCGGTGCATCCCTAGCCTCTCTCCTCCCTGCTGAGCGCCGGTCTGTGTCCCCTCCGATCTCTGCTGCTCTCCCCTGCCTGTACATCAGAGGCAGCGGAGATCAGAGGGACACAGAGCTGATCCAGCTTCCGGTGCCCAGTGGGGAGGAGAGAAGCTGTCAGGAAGCCGAGCAGGCCAGTGCGCGAGTACAGCTTGGCCTCCTGTGACAGACGGAACAGTCAGGATGGAGAGCGGAGCACAAACACATAGCGATCAGTACTGGTCTCTGTACTAATCGCCGAGTGTTTGTACATAACGGAGGACCTAGTAAGCTTACTGTGTCCCCAGTTATGAATGATCAGGAAGTGCTCTACATCACTTCCTATTAATTTATGATTGTGGACATAGCAACTGATACTATCACCTCAGTTTATGCATGGACAGCATCACAGTATAGAAGCTTTCTGTTCATTCATAACAGGGGCTGCAGAAAAAGAGCGTCCTCAATCTCTTTTTCTAATTTAAAAGGGAAATATCAAGGGTCTATTCAGACCCCAGAAATTTCCCCAAGGCCCCTAACAGTAAAAATAAATAATAAAATAATTAGCAAATTAGGCTGTTCCGACTATGGCAAACAAGCCTTATCAGTCCCTGTAGTTTTCACACGATCACTGGCCTCACACTGCTTTACTGAATAAATCCATAAATCTTTAACTGTATATACTGAGCATGTATATGGCACAGCATTTATTACAATGGACTATACAAGAACAATTTGTCAAATGATTCCTTCTAGGTCAAGGACAAGGCGCTCTCCAAAGTCAACAGGAGCTGGTAAAAGCTTTAAAACAACAATTTTCTACTTGAGAGAGCAGTGTCTACACCGAGAACTGGCTATTTCTGCTCCCTGAAGATTTCAGACTTAATAAAGGGGATTTGCTCAGTGCAGGGTGCTCTTCCAAACACTACTAACTCAAGGCTCTTAGAAAAAAAAATAAAAAAAATAAGCCTTCTGCAAGTAAAGACGGCAGCAGAGCCCTTAGAGCTGTCTTGTGCTTATTAAATGGAACGATTCTCAAGCGGCTGCACATCCATCTTACAGATGGCGAGCCTGGAGATAGATGGTGCACCCTGAGTAACAAGGGAGCTCAGCCAGAGCAATGGTTCATGCTGTGACATTCCTGTCTGATAAGGAGAAAAGGATGATACAGATACTCTGTGGAAGGCATTTTATTTATTCTCTGATTGATGCTTCATCGTCTGTGCTCTGCTATCTAAATAGGAAGCTCAGTCTTTACCTGCACATTACTAATTCAGCTTTGAGTGAGCCAGAGAAAATAAAGGAACGGGAAGCTGTTTAATTGGGGGTGATCTCCTTATAAACCAATGTTTTCTTGAATATGGCTGTCAATGGACAATGAACAATGGATATTATCCATGTGATTTTAGTCTATTAACAGACAGAGCGCAGCCGCACAACAATTAGTCTTTCAGAGACATTGCAGCAAGCAGGGGAGCACTGCAAGACAAGATAAGACTGTGTGGTTTAGCATTTAAGCCTCTATTATGTTGGCTGCAGACGCATGGCATGCTCTGAGGATGTTTGAAGAATATTTTATAAGTCATAATGCCGACATGGTCTCTGAGGGATGTTCCTTATGGCAGTGCTGACCTGGTGATTAATAAATCAATCTTCTGAATGGAGACACCAGACCTGCTGGCTATATCTGTAGTCTGTCCATAGAATACTTCACAAAGAATTACCCACCACTGTCATATGTCATAGGACCAAACATGCCAACCTCAGATACACTTGGGAATTCTGCAACCTTCTATAATTTATTTTAAATGTCACAACTCAATAGTCACTTCTGTGATTGTCTCATTTTGTGTCAGCCTTTCTAATACAGGCATTTAAAAAAAAATAGACAAAAATCTTCACACGAGGCTGGCACTTTTCTAAATGTTGTAGTTAGAACAATTAAAAGGAAAAGTGCACTTCTTTCATTAAAAAGGACAAGTGCACAGCCACGGATATATACACACACAGGCCACTTTAAGTACACCTGTTCAATTGCTTGGTAACACAAATTGCGAATCAGCTAATCACATGGCAGCAACTCAATGCATTTAGGCATCTACATGTGGTGAAGACGACTTGCTGAAGTACAATCAGAATGGGGAAGAAAGGGGATTTAAGTGACTTTGAATGTGACGTGGTTGTGGGTGCCAGACGGGCTGGTCTGAGTATTTCAAAAACTGCTGATCTACTGGGATTTTCACACACACAACCATCTCTCGGGTTTACAGAGAATGGTCCGAAAAAAAGGAAAATATCCAGTGAGCGGCAGTTGTGTGGATGAAAATGCCTTGTTGATGTCAGAGGAGAATGTGCAGACTGGTTTGAGATGATAGAAAGGCAACAGTAACTCAAATAACCACTCATTACAGCCAAGCCAAGGCATGCATCAGCTAAGAAAAGGAAACGGAGGCTACAATTCGCACAGGCTCACCAAAATTGGACAATAGAAGATTGGGAAAATATTGCCTGATCTGATGAACCTCAATTTCAGCTGCGACATTCAGATGGTAGGGTCAGAATTTGGCATGAACATGAAAGCATGGATCCATCCTGCCTTGTATCAACGGTTCAGGCTGGTGGTGTAATGGTATGGGGGGTATTTTCTAGACACACTTTGGACCCGTGATGCTATCATGTCAATATGGACCAAAATCTCTGAGGAAAGTTTCTAACACCTTGTTGAATCTATGCCACAAAGAATTAAGACAGTTCTGAAGGCAAAAGGGGGTCCAACCCAGTACTAGCAAGGTGTACCTAATAAAGTGATGGGTGAGTGTATATCTCCCCTTATAGACGAAAATAAACCACCTCATAAAATTAATTTCAACCAGATAAGTGCTTCATACCTCTTTGCAAAATCCTTACTACTCATTATTAATCATTTTCTTTTTAGAATAAAAGTAGTAAGGATGGGTCTTGAAAGAACACCTGACATTTTGTTGGAAGAAGCAGTTTATGGGTACCTCCCTTACTTTTGCTGAGGTTAGGCTCTACTTGAGATGTATTTATGTTGCCATGACAACTGCCGTTGTTAGAAAATTAGGTGTTACAGTTATACCTGGGAAATCTCAGAAGAGGGAACAAATTACAGAGTAAAAAATGGAGACCAGTGACTAGGTCGCACATTGCTTCCCCTTTCCAGTCGCCTCTCTGCAATTTCCATTGTAACAATGTAAGGCACCAGCCTTCACCACTCCTACAACGTACACCTGCCGACAAGCTAAAACTTGAGGGTAGGGTGGAAAGCAATTAGAACCTTTTTAGCATACGGGCCCAAACACTTTCTCCAGTTTAATCCCCTTTAGATATTGTAAAGCTACAACTCATACAACTGTTGGTGGAGAGAAATGTATTATATCTTGCATGGGCAAAGTGATGAATCTTTCACTTACCTGTGCTTGAAAATAAAGGTCTGGCTAAATCATGAGGATAAGGGAGGCCTGGAAAGACACCTGGTGCAGGCGGCCTGCTGAATAAGTCAAGTTTGCCACAAATATCCAGCTTGTGAGGATCCATCTGCATTTGCTATGAAAAACAAGAATTTTTAACTCAGACTATTATTCAAATAAAAGCATTCTTTATCAATCAACAATAAAAAATAAAATCCTAAGGCAGCTTAGTGGGTTATATTCATCACTGTGTACTGCCATACAGGTTTAGCGTTCATTTACACATTTTGGTGCGATGTGTTTCATTCAAATGGAAAGGCTGCCAATGCACCAGAACAGAGAAAATCATGATGCAGCATTTTTTCTGAAGCAGCACAAAGCACAGCAGTGCATTACCTTGCGTAACGCTGCAAAATGTGTATAGGAGGTGCATTGCCTTAGTGTGCTGTGGTGCCCTTGAAAATGAATGGCACCACAGTGCACTAACTGCATGGTGTGTTGCCGTAATGCATACATTAATGTGTGTGTTATCGCAACACACTGAAACAGATAGGCGTCAATGGGCCCTTAATCTCTCCCAACTCCACCATTGAGGCCCATGGCAGAGGAGTTTAAAACTCAACTTACATTATGCTATGGAACTGCTCCCCCGCTGCACAAAGCAGGAATATGTTACTCTAAAGACTCTGGCTAGGATAAAAGGCAAACGTGAATTTTAGTGATTAATAGGCTGTGGTAGAATCACTGACATTAAGCTCCCTTTCAGTACTGGAGGTTGCTTCAACGCTGCAGAAGCACAATTGCTAGCGAGTGAGCAGCCACCGGGTAACTTCCACTTGTGAAAGATAAATGTCAGTGAATTTGCTGTTGGCCACAATGTTGTTGGCGGGAGAATCATATACGTCCGACAGTGCAATAGTAATTAGATACAAATGAATTACTTGACACATTTGCCTTCCATCTCTTCTGGTCTAACTCTCTTTAGAGCAAGCTTGAATCTCTCATGTTGCATCCTGAAATATTTTTGTATGTACTTGCTTTTGGAAACATTTTATCCATTTGTACCATCAGTATTCATTTTAGTTTTCTCTTATTTTGTGTAAAAAATTCTTATTAAGTATCTTGGTATGCAATGAAATGCACATCCCAGTATCGGCACCATAAGTGTAGTATCCCTACTGTGTGTTCCAGGATCCCAGAATGCCATGTAAATTTTGACCAGCTGTCATGGCCAAGAGCCTGTCACTGTCCACTCCCACCACATGCACCTAAACCAGTGGTGGGCCAACAGCGATGTGCAGGGGACAGGAATGGGTGAGACCATACTGTACACCAAGACAGCTGGATAAAATTTGCACACCACCTACACCAGAGCACCCGCTGATTCTGGGTTCCCAAAGTGTCTATGAGGAAATGAAGCTTGCATGCAGGTACCTGGAATTATTTTTTTTTTATATATACCAGTGGCACTTTACCTGTCCTAAAGTAAAGCTGACCCAGCCTAAAATGTTCCCAATAGGTCAGTGGTGCCAGCAAAAACCTGTGTTAGTGTTCATATCGATACCTATGTTATCTCAATATTGGCCCCTACATTCTCTGCTCAAGCTGTACATGAAGTCTTGACTTCTGCCAAAGTTGAGATTAAGCCCCCATTCACACCAGTAACAGCCGGCCCGTACAGATCCGTGCTGCGAGCATGGCCGTATGGGCCGGCTGTTACTTGTGTGAATGGGGGCTTAATCCTACACCCTTCCAGTAAGCCACTCTGTTCATATGTCAGATATCAGAGCCACCATGACCAACAGAAGTTATGAGATGTTACAGCAGAAATATAAAGAATGAGCCTCATCTTAACCTGGACACAAGTCAAAGCTCCGTGTACATGGGCCTAGCAATAGCCTAGGATCCAAGAGATTCCACACGTGCACAGAAACTTGAAGGCACCACAGGATGCCTGCCATTTAGCAATGTTGCAAATGTTTTTAAAATTTTAAGGCCAGGTCAGGTTCACTTTAAGGTAGGCGCTAAATGAGCCACAAACATTATAGTCACATTTGTATAATGTACTAAACTTAGGGTTACATTAAATACAAACCACATGTAATTACTGGATTAAATGGATATTTGCAGAAAAACACTTTTTGATTAGATCTGAGCAAACTGTGAAATGGACAGTGTGCAGTTTTATATCGAATCATGTTTTCAGTGGCTTCCTGTTAGAACACAAGAAGAAAGTTGGAAAAAATGGCCAATGTATCTGACCATCACACATTTGCCATAGGTACCATAGGAATTAGGTGGCCAAAGGATAGTCTCATATGTGAGTGAGTGAGT